TGGTACCAACCTCAGCTTGAGGCGCAGATTGAAGGGACTGTGCGCTGGGGTGGGTGGGTCCATAAGTCTTAGTAAATGTTTATTTAGTGGGAAATAAGTTATTTATTAGCTACTGAATAAGCTCCATGCTTCATTTGGATTAATAAAGGGATGACCATTATCAAATAAGGTCTATATTTGGACAATTAATGGAAAACCTTTGGAGAAAATAAGTGTGATTTATTATTACAGCTCTAGTTCAAAAGAAGGCCACATGTGTCCCAAGGCCTTGCCTATGGTAGTATGCCTCAGGGCTGCTGTGGCTACAGACACTTAAAGCTGGAAACCACAAAAAACAGGTACGTCATCAAATCCATATAACTGTTCCTCAGAGAGAGGTCACATTTTCTTGGTCTGGTCTGATATGTTACTCAAATGAGAGCATTTCTGTTTGGACCGACACATTGTATTTATAAAACAAACAAAAAAAGTGTTTTGTTATTAATGATGATAATATTATCATGTAGTAACCACAATTGATTAGATGCTAACGTTGAATATCTCATCATATTTTGAAAAAAATGTGTGTAAAGGAAGGATGACTTGCTCATAAATCAAGGTCTCCAACAAACTGAATAGTGGCTTCATGTTTGTTAAACCAGCTAGATTTTAGCTTTGAGACCCAAATGAAAGTAAGGGTCTTTGTTTGGACAGTAAACTTTAGAATTAAAAGGCCATAAACAAAGAACCTCTTATCAAATGTTTTGTCATTAAGAATAAAACATTCCAGTTGTTAGTTGTGTGTACACCTCTCAGTACGCTGCTATGTACATGTATTATTTCTGTCACTAGATGGCAGCAGAGAGTCGGCCATCCACAAAGTTAGGCACATTGACTTTACAGACTCACAAAACAGACAAAAACACTTTGCCAATTGCTTGTTTGTTTATTTAAGTCAAAACACATATTTTAACAACACTGGTTTGTCAAACTTGTATTATTTCCTCCAATTACTTGATTCACTCTAATAATTTTAAAGGCAGAATAATTTGAGTGACAGATGCACTGCATTATTGGGGGTGGAGGAGGAAGGCCTTTTCTGTGATGCCCAGGTGAACTGGACGCACACGCTTTAGTGTGCAAGCATGTGATCGACATGTTCGATTAGATGTCCACTTAACAAGTGTGACCCCTGCACCTCCTGAGGTCACTCTGCAGAGGTCTGAGACCTCCTTCCTCCTCCCTTTTTGAGCGGTGCATATTTCTGCCATCCTCCTTCACTCTCTCCGTCCTTTCTTTGTCTCTGCTCTATTTGAAATTGATTGTCTTCTACCATCACAAAGACACTTGGTTCTGATTGATTGATTGGAAAGGGAGAGGGAGAGAACTGGGTCTGTCTGAAAGGAGGCGACTGACACCACTGTGCCGCTGCACAGGTTATGCAGGCGTCTCTAAGGCAGACACACACCAGGATTAAGTTCAGAGGTTTAAACACAGAGGAGCCAGACTACAGAGACCCGAGACAGACACAGATCACATAGCAGCATCCCAACAAACAATAAACAGAATATGAGATGCAACATTGAGAAATAAGTGGAAAACAAAATCAGTGGCATTGATTCTCTCCCCCTCCTCTACACCAGTCGACGTACACTTCATCCTGCAATTTATATACATTTACTTATTAACCATGCATAAAAGAATATTACCTCAAGAGCCTGAGGTGTTTTGGTAGTTTTTCTTTTCTGAAAACATTTTAAACACAGAGAGGAAACAGAACCTTAGGTGATCAACGAGAGCTGCCCAATACAGAATATTACAAAATCACAACGTCAATAATACTCATGATGGATTTTACTCTAAACAAGATGAATGTTCTCATATCAAACTGACAATTCTTTTGTTAATGAAACAAAAATCACTGTGAAAGTATTTTTAAAATAGGAGGGTATAAAACATTTTAAAGAAATGCTTGTTTTTCTTATATTGTGCAGCTCTAGGATCCCATATCTAAAGAGCTAATTTTGCTGATTACTTGTAAGTACTAATTAGACCAATGCAGACATGATCTATAGAAATATGACTTAGTGAAATAATAAAATACAAATAAAATAATAATTTAAAAAACAGATTAGAAAAAAACCTTTTTTTCTGGTAACATTCATTTTGCTGTTATGTTCTGTCATTGCTAAACATTGTTTTTATTGTTCACTATATAGTCTACAATAAAGATTTGAGGTATATCAAGATGAATTGTCTACACATGTCTCCCAGTCTGACACGAGTCTGGACGGAGGGACCAACGAAGAGATTTGGAAGTGAAATCATTGGACAGCATCCACCTCAGACAGCCTTGTAAACAATCAGGTACACACAAGCACATCTCCACTCACTTTACAAATTACACAAAAATAACTCTGTGTGGAGTGCGGATGCCTGTGTGTATCTTCAACAGAACGGCAGACACGTTCTGACACTTGATTTAATGAACTCATTCAAAGTATAGATGGATTATATGTAGTGTTTATTCAGTAAATAATAGGTGGAAAGATTACCCTTTTTGATGTGATGCCAAAGACGTGTGTGTCTACAAAAGCTCAGTGTGTGTTTTGATTATAAACACTACACAAATTCATCAAACATCTCGAGGACCTCTCCGGTGTTACCTCCACTGCTGAGTGTGTGTGTATGTGTTCAGAGCAGTTCAACCCCTGGTTGAAACTAAAAGGCACTCAACTCTTCCCACATAACAGACACTGACATGTGTTAAATGTGCATCATACTGACGTGTGCGTGTCCCAGCTGTGGCACCGCCACACAGCTGTTTCCACTGACTCTTTGGATTTGAATGCATCATACAATTGAATATCTACGCTAAATCTTTACAAAGTTCCCCCCCCCCTGGACTCTTGAAGACGCCATAAATGACAGCTCCAAGTGTGTAGTGCTCTGCATACAGACTGGCCCCGCTCAATGGAGGAATGTCATTTAGAGGATTTCTCCTGAGCCTCTGATGCTCGAGCCACATTTCCTCTCACGCCTGCTGGATGTCTCTAATATGATTATCTCCCGCTAAAAGATGCTACACATATAGTGGCTTATACCACAAAAATCAAAAGGACAAAAGAAATGAGGCGGTTCTCAATGTAACCATACCATCGACAGCAGAGGAATTCAGCGATAGTCCAGGTCAAAGGGATCTGGGACCAGGTGGTCCTCCAGATCCAGAGTCCAACACAAATATTCACAAATATGCACAGTCTGTTTCATCCATGTCTTGTCTGTGCGTAGGACCAGTCTATGACACTTTCATTTGTCTTTTAGATTCAAACTATTTTACATTTTGTCAACAAGGTGCTTGTTTACATATAGTCTCAGCGCAACATAGCACAAAGTCATGAGAGAGAACCATGTGTCTATGGTACTAGTTTTACCCGCTTCAATATTTAAGAGAAAGGAAAGGACTCAACAAGGGATAGTTAATAGTGAATACATAGACAGCCAAAGGGGGAAAGACAGTATTTACATTTGCTTGTGTTCATAAGGTGTGGTGTTTTTGAGGTACGGTTTAGGCAGCGCGCCCTGGTGCTTGCATTGTGAAGGGTGAAGGTGTAGAGCGTGGGGAGAGTAACTGCGCCTGTTCTCTGATTATCATAAAGAGGCAAACGTCATTGGCACTCAGGATCTTGTATTGTGACATTTGACCTCTGCATTTGGCCACTTGAACAGGGCAGGACTCCCACCACCACTCTCTTGGGAGACACATAAATACATATGTTACCCCCAATTTGATTGTTCGCTTATATTTAACCTGAAATTAACCCTTCATTTAAATAAATTGTGTCAGCCCCAGTCACACATACTGTACAGTAGTGACCAGAACACTCAATGCATTGCCAGAACACTCAGTAAAAGCCCTAGTCACACACACACACTCCAGACCCAGAACAGTGGTCTCCTCTGTTCTTAACCTGGTCTGTCTGTTCTCTGCACTCTGTATAAAATTCCTACGACAGGTTGCATGTGTGAAATGTAGAAGCATCATTCAATGGAAATAAGCCTGGATTGGAAATCTTGTAATTCGTATAGGCCTATTGTGCTTCCTGCAGCCTTCGAGGTTCACCCAGGAATTTATTTCATTTACACTAATTGAACATGAAGAGGATTTTAAACTCCCGCCGAGCTCTCAATGGAATCAAACGTTTTTACTGTGGGCACTGGCAAAGCCCGTTGTATTCTACAGGCCCTCCTCATTGTGTTTTGTTTACTCGGAACTTGATTGCGCTCTAATGCTGGGAATAAGCAACATTGCCACTGTTATATCGCATCTTCAGTCACACAAAGCGCGCTCCCGCCGTGTCCTGAACATGTCCGTATGCAGACAGCAGGTGGCGCTGTGTAGGGCGCGCTGTGAGTCAGAGGAGACACTTGACACACTCTTCATCAGCTGGGAGAAAGCAAAAGTTGAGGTTTTCCGAGAATGGTTAATGTCTTTTTAAAGCTAAAGTGGTTCTTTGGTGTGACAAAAGGCATTTATATTGTGTTCTCAACTTATCAATAAGCTCACGTTGCAGTTAGCTGCTGCTCGCCGCCTCTTTGGAATTAAAGAGCGCCATGTTGTCTTTAAAGGGGCACTATGGAGTTCATGAGATGGTATGAAACATTCTTTTTGCAACGTTAAATGTTATAAATGTTTTTTTCTGTTGTCATACGGAATCACATAAAACCTTCCAATTTCTATGGAAACAAGCCACACAATATTTCCTTTTTGTTACAGAAACACTCATTTCGAGTTCATTTGGCTTGTGACTATAAGATACGTTCAAACCACATTGTTTCTGAGAATACCATATTCATGAGACAAGCAGGTATTGGTCGCCCACAGAAAACATGTGCCCCTTTAAAGTGGCAGATCTTTGGAGTTGGAGAAAAGTGAAATCATAAGTGGCTACAGCCTGTGGGCTTTAAGACCCCACTGTGGAGTTAGCATATTCAAGTGACTGGAGAGCACCTCTCTGTGGTCAGGCTTTGGAGAAGGTGGTCGCAGATGAGGTTCCGGGTTGGATGGGTGACGCACTGTTGTTCCCGTGATGCGCATGTACGTGGCCGTGCACGCCGTGCACGTGGCCGTGCTCGTCTGAGTCCCAGCGGTCCGTGCAGCGGCGGCGGGAGTTCATGAAGAAGTTGGAGACAGTGGAGAGCTCCAGGCCCAGCTGCTGGGAGATGGTCATCTGCATCTCTTTGGACGGCCGCCGGTTCTCTCTGAAGATGGCTACCAGCGTGCGCCGCTGCAGGTCTGTGAACACAAGCCGCTGCTTCTTGGGCACCTGGCTGCGCTCCCGCCCTCGGTCCTCCTCTTTCCGCTTACAGGCTGTGGACACACACACATGCACGGCTCCGTTACCACAAGCTCTCATGTCCAACTACAAGTACACGGCAAACCCCATATGCAAACTATACTGCAGCCGATTGAAAGGTGTAGGAAACGCATGAAATTCATGAGGACATTGGAGCGGGATATACCCCAAATGGCCTTATCGTACAAATTTACATTATATTAAGTTGAGCAGTAGGGTGACGACACTGCTGTTGGGAAGATGGGTTAATTTATTGTAATAACACAGTTCTGTTTACATACGACAAACACTAGAAATACATGTGTCGTGGTTGTTGAGATGTTTTATTTCCTTGTGTAACTTGCCTATCAGCCTGCATCATGACAATCAGAAATGCTGCAAAAAATAATCTATAACATGATGTTTTATAGAATCGACTATTTAAATAAGGAATCACAATCAGCTCTAGACATATACGTTTAAATGTTCCCTTAAGGCTATTTAAGTTTAGTTTATTTTTTATTTTTTTTGTTTTTTGATAAACCCTGGCCTTATGTGTTTCTGTATTTTATTTTCTTTGTCCGACATTGGACATTTGACTGGGTTTCTGCTCACGTTTGCACGTTTTCTCTCCTATATTTCATATGGTATTGAGCTCCCCCGGCCCCGGTACGTGTGAGTGTGGCTTCTTCTAATATTAAAGATTGAATCAAGAAAACATTCCTATAGAAGAGCAGAAAACCACAACAACGTTTTCTGCTCTTCGTACAAACGTACGTACACAACATAGTATCTATGTTTGTAGAGGGGCAGAGAAGAAAGGGTCAGGAGCCACCACTGTGGCCTAGGTTTTTTTTTTTTTTCATCAAACCACATGTGTGACGTGCTGTTTGTTCAAATTTATGAGAGTTTTTTTTTTTTAGGGACAGTCTTACTTAGTCTAAGAAGAACCCATTTGTAAAAGGCGCTCTTCTGCATGTGTCCGGTAAACATTGCACTTTGTGCGTAACCCGTGCGCGGGGCTGAAACCCGAGGAGCGTGATGTGAAGTGCTGACAAGAGGCGCTGTGCCGTGGCTGCATGCGCTGTCAGGAGCCAAGGATCTGGCTGTGGAGACTGGAGGGAGTCCGTTCTGTTCTGCTGCCCTAAAAAGCTGCAATGATCGATTTTCCGCGGTTTTCTCCCGAACACGTGGTCCAGTAATCAGGGCTCCCTTCCCCACCATATCGATTCCCATCGATCCGCGAGCCCGAGGTGTGTGTGGACGCGCACGTGTGTCTGTGGCACTGGGGAGCAGAGCTCGGGAGCGAGCTTTGTGACAGACAAAATTGTTTATCAGTGGCAGAACAAAGGGATGTGATAGACAAATGGCATAAGCCCTGTTCTGTTCAGCCCAAATCAAATGGGCCTGCGTTATGTGTTTCCAAAGGCACACACTCCACGCTTTTTATTTAGTATTTTGTTTACTTAAGTGTGTTTTTAGACAAATTCTCTGAAGGATTAAACATTTGTCCTTATTTTCACTTTGGTTGGATTATATTACCATTGTTGTGTGTTTAAGCTGCTGTAGGTCATTTATGATGTTCCTTTTGCTATTCTTGTAGTTACATGGTGTGAACTAAAGGCCATATAGTCGGGCAATATTACACAGTGCAGTGATCAGAGGTGGACCACTCAGAGGAAATTGTGTGTATGCAAATGATTGATGACTTGCACCTAGTTTAGACAACAGCAGTAAACAGATTTGACTCTGAAATCTAATCAATAAGAATGTGTGCGTGTTCATGTGGATACAAGACGTATATGGGCATGCATTGTTCAAGCAGCAAACAAAGGCCCACTACAAACCTATGGATCTGCCACTGCGTCTTTTTGATTAAAACAGCACCCCTTCCACATCAGTCCGAAGCCCAGACTTCCTTCACGGTTTTCCTTGTGTTGTTTTCCTCAATTGTTTTAATTTGCCCTCAGATTGAATGTTCCTGCATTGATTGATCTGCACTTCAGAAGCATTTCATGGAACATTTATTCAATTGGTTGAGTCCTGGCCAAGCCAGAATCTCCTTGCAGCTCTCTAAGTGCGGCTTCAAACTCAACTCAATACTCTGTAATGACTGAATGTTAGTGCTAATATAGTGATAATGTAATATGTTTCCCGACAAATTTAGCTACCGGCTATTTTACAATGCCAACACAGTGGAGAGGCAGACTGTGAGCAAGCGGAGTCACCTTCCTAACTGAGTAAAAGCCAGGAGTTAGCACCAGGTCAATACATATTTCAAATAATCAATAGGTCTATTTCAAATGAGGACCCTGAACACTTCCTTTCACGACAATGAATTGGGCCACAGGGAGGAAAGCTGCTCATTAAAGCACCCTCTCCAGAGGCAGAATGCAACGCAAAGCTGCTATCTTCCGTTGTCTCATTACCAAAGGGCTTTTCTGAATTGTACGACACAGAGCTGTCTCAAGTGGCTCTTCTGTGGAAGAACATCTTTTCATATAGTGTCAACGATGCTACAGGTGGAACTGCCACTTGGCGTCTTTACACACCTCACACACATGAAATGATTAACCTGCAGCTTAAGTGCTTACTCCTAAAGGGTCTCGGCAAAGTGATGATGGCCAGTGTTTAGTTAGGCTTATGCGGAGCGAGCAGTGATCAAGTCCTTTATGTTATGACTAGATTTTGGAGAATACGTTCAAAACAAAAGGTTGCATCATTAAACAGTACATCCACGGCCTCATGCACCTGATTGTCAATCATTTAGTATTTTGTTGTATATGGAAACTTATTGCAATTGTGTTAACCAGATAACATACATCAGAAAGACGTTTAATTTGAGTAAATACTATTGATTTGAAATGACTACCGTATGCTGTGGCCCATCTCTTTTGTCATGAGGATGAAATTGGAGATTATCAAAGGGAAGAAGAGGTTCCAGAGAGTCTGACAATGCAACAGTGAAGTTGGAGAGACGACACATGTACACAAAGCGAAACGTTTACAGTGTGGATGGATGTATGGTTTTGTGTGTGTTTTGGGGAGGGGATGTATGAGGGGCAGACGGTGAACTAACCGCACCGTGCTGCTGCTAGCCGACGCCTGGACAGACTGCTGAGATCGGGCTTTGTGTGCGGTGAGACGGGCCCTCTCGCGCCCTGGACGGACTACTGCAGGCGAGAAACAGTGGTGTCAATCACTCCGCGTCACACCTCTCCCAAGATGAATGCTCATTGACTGTATTGATCATATTATAGGCCTATTCATTGCTGGGGGACGTAAAAAACGACCGAATCACTCCCTACCCTCGCTGTTTCTGGGAGCACTGTAGATACAAATGCAACCGTATCGTCACTTTAAAATCCTCCACATTGATCAGCATTGGTTATTTGAAAGCTTTTGTTAAATTGTCAATGCAAGGCTTGTTTTGTCTTGTTGAGGCGAATGATCGGCAGCTTTACAACCGATTTATAGTGTTTCAGTCTATAAAGTCTGTAACGCCTGTCCAACTTCAGAATAGGCCTATCATCATCATAAAATCTCCACTATTGAGGCCAACCTGATCTTCTCATGCTTTCAGAGCTTCAGTTTTATTTATTTTTAGTAAAAGCGAAATTTTTACTTGAGTCGAGCTGAAAATGTATTGTCTGTTGTGGAGATATACAGAGTCTACAGTTATCAGGTCAAATTAAATATACAATTTCCTAATTGGTTGTTTGATCAATGTATAGTTGTTTAGCTCCTCACAGTTTACTGTAGTATAAGATCCCGGGGTTTTCTTTGAACATGACATATTTATTGTCATTCACTCGGTTTCAAAACATTTCAAAGTATGGTGCCAAAAGTGCAGCATGCCAAATTAGTTCACTTTCAATGAGGCACAAGTGGAGATGAAATGAGGCTGGGAGGCAGTGGTTGTGCTTTGCTGATGCAACGCAGTGAGTGAACGAAGGATGAGAAAAGGGAAGAAGGATGGAGGGAGAGAAGGAGAGCAGGAGAGGGGAAATCAATACCGATTCAGAGCGAGTCAGATAAGCCTGAACAATGTATAGTGCAGACACACTCTATAACACAGCCACACACGTGCATGAGGAGGTGCACGCGCACTCAGATCCCGCATGCCTCTATAAAGATGCATTACAAACCCCATAAAACATACTGTAGCAGCCTCTAAAATCAAATGACATCACAACCTTGGATTGCTTTGAGTATTCGCTGACATGGCCAGAAAGCAACCACTCATTACTACTACTCAATATCACTATGATCTCTGCTTTGTTTGAGATATAATTTTCAACAGATGTCACATAATGTTTACAGGATTCTCATGAAGATTTCCAAACGGATCTAACTACGTTTTATAAGGCAGAAGAAGAAATTGTACTTTCTTATACTCAAAGTGCTCAATAAACACTGCCGCAGTCTTCTTGCTTATATTTAACCTCTCCAATATGTTTTGATCCCCAGTTTTGGTTGCTCGTGGAAAGTCTACATCTACCTTGTGGCTATTGGCCGAGTGGTATTGACGTTTCCTTGGATGTTTGGGCCGTGCTGTGTATTTCCAAAACCACTAACACGCCCTGCGCTGTGGGTTGTTCTGAGGCATTGAGGCGATGTGTGGTCTTCAACCGTTAACCACATGATCAGACTTTGCTTACCTAGGAGATGCTGTTACAAGCAGCATCACACAGCCCTGCTCTGCCTCTGGCTCTCTTCCCTCCGTCTTGGACTTATCAATTATTAAGGAAGATATTGATCCTTTCACTACTGCCTCTATCTGGATGTTCACACAAAGCCCAAACCTGCCTTGGCCTCTCTCAATCAATGGCATCTCCCGGCTCTTCCAACTCCTTTTTCCACATGTCAGTTTTGCTTTTCTCGCTTTTGCACTTAAGCAGAGTTGAGTGAAGTTTTGTTCATGGCAAATTCGCTGAAGTTCTTTAGAAAATATGAGCTGTAGCACACAGGTATATATGAATTTTTAATGGCGTATAGGCAAGTTTGATGGGCATTAAAAGATGGCTAAGGGAAGAGGATGGAAAGTGGATACATGCAAATAGCCTGTCTTTATGAAACTGTCCGCAGTGAATTTTTTGGTGGATCCAGACAAAGCTGTTGTCAGGTTAACCAAAACATGCCGTATACTCTGGCGAAGAGCAGAGAAATAAGAAAGCAGCGGATGGAGAGGGGGTTGGGGAGGGGAAAGGCTTATTGATCTTTTATGTGCAAAGCCAGGCAAACATTGGGGAGACAGAGCTACACTATTAACGACATTCACAGCAAATCCTATTCCCTGCTTTATAACCAATACATGCCCACCTCTACGTTGATTCCTTTATTATGATATTACTTAATTAGTGTATTTCACATTGTTTTTTGTATAGCACTGAGTTTCTCCACACATGCCTGTATCAATCAATATTTCATCAGAGCAATTCAAAGAGCACCAGCCTCTCATTTAGGTTGAATTGGTTGACAGTAAACAGACAATGGTGTTTGAGGGTCTCTCGATTTTTTGCTATACCCAACTAGGTAAAAATATGCACTGTAACGAAAACCGTCTGTCATGGCGGCTTACGGGCTAAATTTAGAGCTTTTACTCTACTAAATGAAAAGCCAGAGCAGAGTGCGCGTGTGGTTATTGCGTCTTTCAGCCCCCGATACAAGGATCGATCCGTGCGCCACATTTAAAAGGGAGAGTGGGAACTGGCGCATCGATTAGGCAGCCTGGGGTCACCCGTTCCTCCATCGCAAATCTGTCTGCACCCAACACACACAGCACATAGGCGAGGCCACTACTGTTTACTATAGGAAATCCTGAGAAATAAACGCGTCAGAAGGAAATTAATAAACATTTGAATTGCAAGTCAATGGAGTAGACCCATCGTTTAATTCCGGCTGTAAAAATATGCGCTATTTGTGTGTGTGTTTTGTTTTTTTCTCTAATTGCTGATAACGTTGTCTATGATGTGTATTGTTGGTTATGTTGGATATTCTGTCACGTTATACTTGTGTTCCCTGAATAAGTATTTTGAATATGTTTCAATGGCCCTTTCCCCGCCGCGTCAGTGTGCGCGTAACTGTCCATGGTTCTGAAACTGTGAGGCCTGCGTAAAGTTCGTTGTCAGCTTTAAGCGCACTTGTTTGTGCGAAGCGACATGGCTCCTCAAGAAGAGTTCCAACAGTAATGCAATATATTTGTAATGATCTATTTAGTCATAAAACTTCATCCTCAGCAGAAGCCATATAGAAGCTACAGGTATAGGCCTACTGACTTTTCTTTTTGATTATCACTCTTCAAATGTAGAATAGAAGTTATGCACTTAAACAAATGCGTTTTACTTAACTTACTATACTTCACCTTTACATGCGTATATATATACGTTTTAGAAAAATGTATTTGGTTAGGTTTGTATTTTTGTTATTGTTTATCTAGGTTTGGGCCTATATGCAAAATTGATCATTCTTACCTGCTAACCGGAGAGCAGACATTCGTTGAAACTCGGGTTCTTGCAGCCACTTCCACATTCTCCTAAACGTCTCTCTTCCGGATTTAAGTTTACTCCACGGTTTTGGGTTCCGCAGAAGATCGGACAGTGTCCCCTGTGAGCGGCTGAGGATCCTTTGCGCAAAAATGGCCTGTGGGATGGAGTACCTCTTCAGCTCTGCCGTTATCCGCTGTGCTACTTCCTTCGTATTGATCTCTTCTGCTTGGATCCCCGACCCGGCTGTCCCCTGTCCGCACGGTGTGTGGTGGTGCCTCTCCATCGCCGCTCCATTAGACTGCGTGTGGAGGTGACTGTGCGGGTGGTGGTGCATGCCGTTCAAGTTGGAGATCATGCCGTGACTGTGGCCGCCTAAACTCCGAGCCAGGTGCTCTTGGTCACTTCTGGAGAGCAAAGACGCGTGGGACTCAAAGCTCGGGGGAAGCATCTTAGCCTCTGTGGAAAGATGCGAGCTCTGTCCGTATGCAGAGAGCGGCTGCTGCGCGCTGTGCAAAGAACCTAAGCCGCTGGACAGTGGCGACAGTGAACTGTGGCCCATGCCTGACATGTCTTTGGGATAGTGGCTGTAGAGGTTACCCATGGAAGCCAGTCCGCGGGGGTCGTCTCGCATCAACGTAAAACTGCCGCTCACGTTGCTGGACAGCCGTTGGTGGTGATGATGATGCGGGTGGTGAAACTTCTCAGACACCGTGGAGATCGGGGGCAGATGCTGCAGCGGGGTAAGTGTCGTGTACGTGTTGCTCAGACTCATGCCCGAGTCGCACATGCTGATGGACGGGCCGTGAAGGTGTGCAGGCAGCGCGGATGGGTCAGTTCTGTAGTCTCCGCTGGCACCTCCATCCAACAGCGAAGCCATCCCCGACACCATGGCTGAAGAGCGTGCACTGTGGGACACCAGGCTCCGAGGAGGCGGCGAGGGGCGAGAGTGCGAGGAACTCATCAGGTCCCCCGTTTGCTGCGAGTGGAGACTGTCCATTAGCTCCATTGTGGAGAGCATCTACAAGTTATCCCAGAGCCCGCTCCCGCTCTTTCCTCTTGCAGTTTTTATTGTTCAGACGAAAACCACGCTGGTTTGTCACAACTCCATCGACCACAGAACTCCGGATCAATCCAAATTCAGTCCAGTCTTGTGGCTCTGAACTAAATCAGTGCATGCGCTTTGTCCTCAGTCCGCGCTTGCGGACGTGCTCTGTCCAGGGCTGGGTCTCATCTCTTCTCCAGTTGCGCTTCTCCTATGAGCTGATCAAGCGCGTGGCAGAGAGATGGGGGCGCGCATTTAACATATGGGGTGGGTCAAGGGATCTGACTTTAAGTATAATGAAATAGCAATGTTTCCTAAACTATTTTGGTTATCGACTGCACGCGTGATAAAGTAACAATATAATTCCACATGTAAAATGTACTGTTTTTAACAAACACAGCAGTTTCTTCCGTGGTTTCTTTACTGCATTGTAAGATGAGACGTTTAAATGAATATATGGCTATATAATTTACTATATATTTTACTTATACTCTCTTTCTCTCTTTGTCGTTCTCTCGTTCACGCCTTGGTGCCTTTTCTCCTCCCGGTGGTGAAATTAAACAGTGGCGCAAGCTGCGTGTGAAAAACTTGATCTAAACTTTGTTTTCCCACGGACTGTATGGTTTTGCATTTATGCGCTTAGTGATAAACCTGATCGAAGTATTGAGTGACAGTGATTAATGACATGGCGCGTGCCTGAGGGGGCTGGGCGCGAGGATGAGGCAGGTCACAAAGTTAGGATCCCTCTGCACCAGGCCCCGCAAAGTTCACAAAGTCTGTCTGGTGACATTTATGATTACCGTCATATTTTGAGGTCTTCGCTAGAATATTTTTTTTCCCTCCACATTTTAACAGTTTAATCGTAAATATAAAATATAGGCCTGAACTTCGAATTGATTTGGCCACGTCATATTACAACACGGTAATGCAGCTCACTATTCCTCTTTTATTCATTTACTATTCATTTATTTTTATTTTTATTTTCATTTTTGCAGTTGTCGCGAGTCGCTCCGGCCTCAAAAGCTGGAATTCAGACCAGGTCTGAAATTGGGTCAAAGGCCTTCAGCATAATCTTGCAAATGTTCAACCAATTTTGAGTATTCTGTGTCTCTGCGTCCGTCTACAATAATATGATGGTTACAATTGATTTAAAGATTAAACTTAATTAAATAAAATGGGCTTTAGTCGCTTTAAACTTATGTTAGGAAAAATGCAACATATAGGATTCCGGGGCAAAGTGAAATGCTTAAAGCGTTCATTTTACCTTATGCTCTAAATGTTAGTAGCTCAATAGGGTTGTTTTAGTCCCTGTTTAGAAACGTGTAAAACGTATTAAAGGCCTACTTTACGCGTTGGCCTATTTCAATTATCCAACACACCTTTTTTACCCAAAACATGCTTCGGTGAAATGTATCCGTGATCGATGTAGTCTATTGATTACCAATAGCTTAAATCACGTGACTTTGTGGCGTGCCTGACGGAGCACATGGTCACAGTGACCAGGGTCAACACTTGACTTGTGCGTGTGCGCGTGCGTGTGCTTATACGTGTCGCTATGTTATAAAAAGGCCCAGATTAGTGCAGTGCAATTGGGCCTGAATCACTCGGGGTCGCAGAGACGCAGAAGAAGAGTGTAGTTTACCGTGTTTTAGCTGGTATTCTTGCGTTTCATTTGATGATATTGTTTTCTAGGATCTGGGGAATGTGGCTTACATTTTCATCGACAATTCTCTTTTTTACAGGAACAATTAAAAAGTTGAATCAGTTCAGTAACATTTAGAATAAAACACAGGTTCACGTCGGCAGACAAAAAGTGGTGAATGATGCACCAGAGGAGGTGGCACAAAGTGGTTCTGCTGAAGTGCGCGGTGTGCGTCATTAGCGCCTGAGTGAACAACGTTCCATAACTGCGCACATTGCAGTCTTTGCATGTTTGACAAAAGTGAAAAGAAGATGAGACTTTAACATATTGACTCCTGTTTGTTTTGTGTGACAGTCAGGAGGATGACGCATATTCACTATAAACTACAGCTTTAATCATAACAGGCCCTATATATCTCCAACACATTGAATTCTAAATGATTGTATGACAGAAGCTTTGTCTGTATTTCTAATTTTAATTTATAAACTTATAAAGATACTTATTAATGTGTTTTTAGCAAATTTGAGAAAATATTCAATAATACTTATTTCTATCGTTATTATTATAATTACTATATTTCTGCCCATTCCCATATTCTGCTACATGTACAGATACATCACTGTGAATATTTGCTTTTTACATGCTGAACTTTTATTGTTTAATGATTACATGTGTATTATGTTCTCAGAGCGTGTCATGGATAAGGTATAAGGTAAGATGATTGGAATTTCTAAAAGCTAAAACTTCAACATCTTTTAACATCGGAATATGCTCTTGGACAAATAAAGGTTCTGTTAACCTCACTTTCATCTGGTAAAATAAAAATGGGCAACGGTAATATGTTTTTCCCTGAACATTGTTGTCTAGCGTCAATTGTAAATGATAATCTTACAGTATATTACATTTCACATATAAAGTCTATGATTATAGTGGCACTTGCATGACCCTTTGTTTACATTGACCCGAGCTGTTTGGCATATTTTCTTGTCATTCCATGCGTTTTATGGCTGGTGACATTTCCATTCATCATCGTCTTTATCAAGTGAAAATGCAGAGTGGACCAAGTTCTCCCTCGCCCAGGTTGCTAAGTAACAGAAGGAGAGATGTATTGAGACAGAATAGTCAATCAATTCTTCTGTGTTGCATATGTGGGGACTGTTTGTCTTCCTACATGTTATGGCTCCAAAGATATTTTAGAAAACATATTTTCACATAAAACTACACTATACTTACCACGACAAAAATGTCAAACTTCATTAAAGGAAAAAAAGTTTTAAAACATGACAGACCTTGGAGTAATATCCACCATTTCATTCAATTTCATTTATTTTTGTATAGACCTAAATCACAGCAGCAGTTTTTGCAGAGGTCTTTACAAAACCCAGAAAACCAATGTGTGTGTGTTTAAAAAATAAATAAATAAATAAATAAAGAAAAGAAAATAAGACACTTATAAAGTTCTCATTTTACATAGTGGAAAACCTTTGAAGCCTGTGTTGGTATTAATGCATTTTATGTTTTAACTAATTATTTCTGCACACTGTTTTATTGAAACAAATATATATTTGATGAAGGCATTACGTCTTCGCACACCACACTCCCAATAAATACTTATTATGCAAGTAAGATGGTATGTGGGAATAATTCTCCTTATCTAACTGTGGGCTGTACAGGCCTCTCCTCCAACGCACCCGATATCTAGAACTTTGTGTGACTCTTCATTTCTGATGTTTTAACTTGTATCAAGGAAGGGAGCGATTGTGCTTGAATGATACATTTCTGTAATGCATAAAGCACAATCCAATAAATATTAGATCACAAAAACTTACAAGAGTTTCCTTTAGTTTATTGTTGAAAAAAATGCAAGGACATTAAACTTCTCTCAGATATCTTGTTTTACTAAAAACCTATTTGGGACATTTCACTTTGAATAACAGGTATTTTAGAATATAGACACTTGATTCTTGTTTTTCTGTGCAGACTTCAACCTAAAGTTTTGCCTGTACAGTATATGTTAGCTCTGTTTCTCCCTCAGGTCTCCTTCATCAGGAGCTGTAGAAATATGCTGCCTTCATATACACTCCATTGATTTTGCCCTGGAACAAAGACGGGCAGAGAAACGTGGAGGCAAGCGAAGGAAACCAACGCTGCATGCACGAAACCAATGGTGAAAATGCTTTTGTAAACGGCTCGCATAGATTCTGCTGCAGTTATTGGATAGAGGAGGACAATGAGCGTTTAGTTTAGATTTGTGCTAAGGGCTACTCCGATGTGGGAAGGTGCAGGGCGTAGAGCAACAGAGGTGGAGCAACAGGGAATAGTAGAGAAGGATGGGGGCAGAGGGAGAGAAAGAGTGGTGCTAGTGTTAAGGTGATTAGTCTGGTGGGTTGGCGATAGAGAGAGTTGATCAATAGCCTATCGATCTCCCATTGCGAGTGTCAAGGGGGTAGTGGGAAAGTGAGGGAGGGTGAAAAGAAGGATAGGGTGGGAGTCGCTCCTAGCTTGACTTTTAAAAATCCTTTGCTCTGCGGATGACAAATAACCTATTAGATTGCGCTGAAAATGTGGAAACTCATTGTGGGCATGCTTTCTTTGAAGTCACATTTTACTTTATCGAAATATAAAGTGAGGAATCTTCCATATAAGGCTGCGGGATGTTAAAACAGAAATCATTTTGGTAAGCAAAGGTGTGCCGAGAAACATATTGAGCAATGCAGAGAAGTTACTTTGCAGACCATTACTTCAAATACTTCCCCCAGGCTGAATATTCACTGGAGCAAGTCCCACTCAATACTCTCCACCCAAAAGCCCTTTTAAATGCTCTGCAAATGGTTGTGTTAAATCGGATGACAAATTTGATGCAAACAAAGCTTTGTACATAACTTCTCACAGCAATGAAAAGATAAATGTCTTAACTGGAAGGTGTCTGCCGTGATTAAAGAGCAGAGAAATCTAGTTAAAATAATGAGGTGGTGACAAACACAGCTATTAAGCATACAGTCCCCAGGCCTCTTTCTAACTGAGAAAAATTAATATACACAGAGAAAATGACTTGGACTGGCGCTAATGTGACACTCCAGTGGCCATCTTCTCTTTGCACTTTCAGCTTATTGATACGTGTGTGGTACAAGGTTTGTGTGATCGGGGAGAGGCCGGGTCATGACCTTGAAAATGCTAAAAAGCGGTGTATGTGTAGGAGCAATTCAAATCGGGTCATGTCCACTACGGCCCTTGGTTATGTGGGTAGTTTCTGTTGGAACTATAGTTAAAACACTCAGAGCTGTAACCAACGATTATTTTTTATAATGGATTCATCTATATG